CACACAGGAACAGAGGGGTTGAGGGTCCTGCTCAGTGAGCTTACATGCTAGAGGGTGTGGGGTAAAATAACACAAAAAGGTAAGGATAGTATTAGACTAATGACAGTTGCAGAAGAAGAATCAGTCGTGAGCTATTAACAGTTTTAATGATACGCTTTTATGAAGTGGGTTTTTAACGATTTTTTGAAGGAGTGGAGACTGGGTGAGCATCTAACAGAGGAGGGAAGCGAGTTCCACAGGAACGGTGCAGCCTTCGAGAAATCTTGAAGGCGAGCATCAGAGGTGGGAGTACGGACAGAAGATAGACGAATGATAGCGATTTAAGTACCTAAAATAATACCCTTCTTGAAAAAGACAAAATCTATAAATTGCATTTTTATGTTGCGCATACAATGTTGTGGACAATTACCTAGTAGATCATCTACAGTGTACCTAATACATCTTTCATTTGTGTAATGGTAACTGTGCATTGGTTGTATAGAGAAATCAGTATTTTGAGTGTGCAAAGGAGAAACATGACGTCACGGGGTGCATAACACTATCCATTCCCCTGGCATTGGGATGTCCTGACTACGATTTTAGCTTATGTTTAGCTCAGTGGCTGCATGAGGGTCAGCAAAGAAGCTCTTTGAAACAAGCTGTAAGTAATGTGAGAATTCCAGCCTAGTTTATAAAACGCAAGGGTAAACATGGGTATAGATTTTAGAAAGCTTTGAACACACCATGTATGTCTCGGACTCCGGGGGAAGATGAAAACAATCCTTAGGCCTCAATGAGTTTAAAAGATACATGCTTTTCTTTCTTTAAAGTTTTTTTGTTGTTGTTGAAGTTTCCTCTCTTATTAGCTTCATCTGACACCGCTATGGTGTGGATTTTATCCTTTTATGTTTAATCTTCTATATTTAACAAACCGTCCTCCTCCGCCTAAAAGCCAAACGGAGAGACATGAGTTGGAAGAAGAATCAATTTAATGACAGTGTCGCTGCGTGAATCCTGTAACTTGGGCAGTATTTGCAAACAAAGAGTTTCATGGTTTTGAAAACATTGAAGAATATTGTCCTTTTTTAAGTGTTTGCATGCGAGACCGAGAGAAAATCCTTCTAGAGCTATCTGCAAAGGCTTTGTCGCTTGTGACAAAGCCATCTGAAAACAAGATTTATTGCTTTCCTGTAGGGAGAGTGGAAATACACAAACATAAGTCCTTCTTACAAAAGAACCACAAAAGAAAAAGTCACTTTGAATAATTCTTCTTATTGTCTATCTGTCGTCCCCAGACACACTCTATCGATGTATCACAGAATAAATTAAGCGGAGTGAAAAAAATAAATAAATAAATAAAAAGATATTTAAGGGATAAATTATTAATTTTTCATTTCCAAATCAAATCTGTTAAGTAGGGTAAGCATTTTCGAAAAACACTGAACCAAAAGGTCACCATGCAAACTGAAAAAACAGGAGGGGGAAAAAAATGGAGTTTTTTGGGGTTTTTTTTTTTGGTAGGTCCCCAAATTTTCAAAAGGTTACTGCAGTGCTGTAAAATTATTTAACTGTCTCAATGTAATTTGATTTAAACAGAAGAGGAAAGGAAAAAAGGCTACACATTCTCAAGGGAATAGTGTTGCTTTGTTAAAAAGTATAACGTTCTGAAACAAACTAAAAAGCGACAAATCTCCATATTTCAGGAAGAATGAATTCAGGGGCAAGAAAAGAAGGGGCATCATACCAGCACACATGGGTGCCAGCGTGACAGACAGCTCTGCTCGGCTGTGCCCTAAGCACACTAAGGAGGAGAGTGCTGCTGAAATGGTCTACTGTGGGCAAACTGTACTGAAATAAACGCAAGCAGAAGTAAGTTCAATGAGGAGTCTGTGCTTTACTCAATGTGGGCTTTACGTTGGTGTCCAGAGTAACGGAATAGAAGAAAAGACCCCAGGACAGCAGTAATAAAGATTAGTCCTACCAAATCCTGAAGTATGGAGCAGTAATCACTATAGTCCACAATGCAAAGTAAGGCATCTCATTTTTAGATGCTTTGCATACGTACCAAAATGCTGTACTACAACTCCCATGATTCTCAGCCTATCTATTTCATTCATAGAATCATGGGAGTTGCAATGCAGCAACATCTGAAGGGCAGGAGTTCTGGGAAGCCTGTCTTACACATTGTACACAGACAAGGTGTTACAGGCAGTACAATTTACGATTACAGTTCTTAGGGCAAAAGGAATATTACTGTTAGTTATATTAATGTGGAGCTCTGTGATACACACATACTCACTGCACATTATTGTGGAGCTCTGTGACACACACACACTGCACATGGCTGGGAAGTTTGTTGCTATAGAGCTCAGTGATACACTCCTACATACTGCACATGACTGTGGAGCTCTGCAATACACTCAAACATACTGGACAGTACTGTGAAGCTCTGTGATACACTCACACATATGACACATTACTGTGAAAATTATTCTAGTGGGATACTTTGTTACACTCAAAACCACACTAACTTAGAATGTTAGCTTTATTGCTGTGGAGTTCACATTCCTGTGAGTTGTACTGATTTGGAGCCCTGTGATACACATATAAAGATTCCTAGAGATATTAAAAACCGAGCATCAAATTAAGAAACACAAATGATGGCTTTGGGTTGTTGAAGCCACTACGGAAGCATGCAACCATGTTTGCTTGTTATTAGCTCTTTCATTACACCAACATTTTCTGCAGCGCTGTACAATTATACAGCCGGGATATACAGGGGTGAGTAACTGGCAAATAAAATGAAATTATCAGAAGAATTGAAGAGCGACCTGCTTAAACTAGAATACTAAGGAACACATATTATATGATTGGATTACAAACAAAAGTGAACTTGTTACTGGTAGACAAAACAACATTAGCCAAAAGAGCTCAGAAAACGGTCTATAAGTTGAAATTTTTTAACGACTTAATGTGAAAAGCTTTTGCCATATTAAAGCTGAAGTGTTTCTGCTCGGTGTTGCATATCTAATGTAAAATGTTCCATAATTAGCACAGAGTGGATAAAAAGCCTCTCTGCTCTCACAGAGTAACATTTTGTTTGGTAATAGATTTGCGGTATTTTGCACTTTTAGAGACTGTATGTTAGGAGTTACTATGCGAAATGGTGAATTATGAACGCAGGCAATACATCGGAGGAAGGGTGATGTATAATGAAAAGCTTTGGAGGTTCCCGACTTATGATGATGGATATTAAACATGACATAATGGACAGACCTTAAAAACACAGAGAGCTAGAATGGAAAGCTTCTGCATTATGAGGGTCAGTGTATCGAAAAGATTTTGTTACAACTAAACTCTGGCTGTAGGGATGTGTGCAAAACTTGCCTGATTTCTTGCCGTGATGGCAAAAGGTAATTGGTTTTGCCTAAAATGGATACATAGAGCTATAGCTCTCCCATAAACCTATGTACAGCATTTATTTCCTATTCAAGTCGATAAAAAAATGTGCATGTGCATTAGACTCCCCTTGCACTAATGTTGGAGGGGATAGAGATGGAGCCAGCGCAGAGGGACCTCAGCGCTGGAATCAGGTAAGTGTTTAAAGGGTTATTTAATCCTTTCCATGTCGCAAGGGGGGCCACAGGGCAGAGGAACACTATAGTGTTCCTTAAAATACAGGGATAAGTAAACTTATTACTAAATTCCTGGGACATAGCATTTACTCTTTAAAATTCAGAAACATTGACAAATTAACCTCAGAGTGTTTATTTAAAATAAATAAATATTGAAATTGCCCAGAATTATGTTAAACAGGACACTCCAGACTGATGAGATCCATTGTTTATTGCTTTCGTTAAACAGACAAAACATTTAAAAAAAAAAAAAAACATTTAAAAAGTTATCCAAAAAACTCTAATAAAAAAAAACATTAAAAATAAATAAAGAAAATTTAAATTTCAAGTAGTTATATTAGCAAGAGAACCCCAAGCTTCACAAACCAGGAAGTAATTAGCCAATAAAAATGAGTGTTGATTTTATCTCTAGGGATGTGCATGATCCAAAAATTCCGTTCCGAAATTCGGGTAAGAAAAAAAGTTCGGCACTTCGGCAATTTGGGACTTTGGTTCGGTTCGACACTTCTGAAATTCGTCAATTCGGGACTTCAGCAATTCAAAAAATCTGTAGGGCTCCCTAACCTAACCTAACCCTAACTTAACCCTACCCTAACATTCACATAATTCACATACATTTTCACTCCCTCTCTTTTTTTGCCACTTTTCAGAAATTCAAAGCACTTCAGCACTTCCAAAATTCAGCACTTCGGCCATTCGATTCAGAACTTCCGAAATTCAGCACTTTGGCCATTCGGTTCGGCACTTCCGAAATTCAGGACTTTGGCAATTCGGACATTCGGAAGCATCCGAATTGCGTGAAATTCGTCTGAATTCACATTCGGACCGAAACAATTTGCAAATGTCTAGTTATCTCACAAATCTTTGCACCAGCTTTAAACGTGCAGAACAACGGTACCAAGATAGTCTGTGATTCAGTTATCATTAGAAAAGCTGTTAATTGGACTTAGACTCCAAATAACACAGCTAATTACTTATTTTATAGTAATAGGACAGAGCATATAAAATGTCAGAGAGTTGTGTTGATGCCTGGAGCATCCCTTAACGAAAACTCTGCTTAGTTCTTTAAGAATCGCAGTGAAACAGCTATCTGCATTTAAACAGGAAGGTTCTGGATTTGTGTCAGTGCAATTACCAGATCTCAGCATAAATAATCTAGACTGTATAATCCGCGTTTTACACTTTTCATCTATCTGCCATCAACCATTGGTCTGCTTATATTGTACTATCTTTTTCCCATTTGTACAGCGCGGCGGAATATGTTGGCACTTTGTAAATGCAAATAATAAATAAAGTAAATAAACTAAGCTGGTGTTATGCTAAACTCTTCACAAGGACTTTGGTTTCAACAGGACCACTAATTCCTCCTGTATCCAAATAAACCCACTCAGTTACAGATGAGATCACTTCGACGGGAAGGGTGATGTATTGCTATTTTGAAATAAAAGCAGAAATTCACCATTGATGAGAACGATGATATCAGAAAAATATCTGCTAGTTACCTTGTGATTTGACTGAAGGCAAAGAGTCCGTGTGACTTTTATCATAACGTCTATAGCTCTGAAGGTGCGTAATAGTCCTTTATTTGGGTTTAGATGACTCTCTGATTGAATACAGCTTTCTGCCCCTCACTTGCTATTTATATTCTAAGCTTGCCTGGTAGAAGGCCTCTACTGTACAGTCCCTGACGTCCTGGCTGTTGATCCCAGCAGGACACAGATAATCTCGGTCTCTATCAATATCTCTCCAGCTGCCGTGTTAGGAGGTGGGAAGCCTGTTAAACCCATTAATGGATTGGAATCATCAGGATAAATGTCTAATTAAGAGGATAATAAGGTGACCACGGACTTAGCATGCACACTTAGCTCGCTGTCACTTACTGGTCACACACACAAGGGAGAATAAAAAAATCATATTAGATTACATTAATGGGAAATACATTTTCTGATACTCGAATTACGATAGTAATGCTATATCAGCTACAAATAAAAATAATATTAGTATTGATGTTTTAATAGTACGATATGAGACAGGTTTAACGCTTGCATTCAGACTTTCTACAGCCCCTCAGACCTAAAACCTGGTAGACTATTATTCATCCAGTAATTAAACACAAGGGTCATAGGCTAAACATCTCGGCTGTGATATGGAGGCTCAATGAAGTCCCCTTCAGCTTCAGTGGTGGACATAGAAGTGACCACAAAAAGTGAAGGTGTTTTCAGAGTGCTGTCACCAAACCAGGATCTTGCGGAAATCTCTCAGCCAATCCTGGTGCTACTGCACAGCATATCCCATAAACCCATTTACTTCTGCTGACCCACCACACTATTCAGTTCATTCATAAAAATAAAAATACGCGGTTTGTATCTGTGCAGGGAAATATTAGCTGTGGTGTAGCATCAATTAGCTGGCTTAGTAATGTTATTCTCGATAAATTAAGTTATCGAGGCCCGGATAAGTATTGTGTGTCTATGTACATTGACAGTCTCGTTGTTTTATAACTTTTTTATGAAATTCAGCCTTTAGCATAAATAACATGATGATGCCACATAAAGTTGTATTGTTACAATGAAAAGTAGAGTATTGTGAGGAAAGAAGAAGTGGACAGACGGAGGATCTGAATGTTAGTCTAAAACCAGCCCAGGCTTGATCTTGGTGCTTAAATAAGTTAAGCAATGGTTGGCTGTGAGAGCTGGGAATTGAAGGTGGTTTTGGGTGACTGACCTTCTCGTGCAGCACTGACAGCCGGATGAGGTTAATCAGCCTGCATACAAAGAGATACTAATGAGGGCACTGGAATGATCTGCACTCACCCCTTGTTCTCAGAGTGTTCTGGTGAAAAGATGCAAGGCATTACCTGAGATCCGTTGTCGCTGAGTCCCCTCTGTGAAATAGGACCCCGCTGTTATTGTAAAAGGTAAATGTCTAGCATGTCACATTCCATATGCCTTCCAGACCAATGCTGGCCTCTCAGGGAGATGGATCTGGTGGACATGAAAATAAATAGTTGTACACATTCTTTAAAGAAAGGACAAGCCCACTAAAACTTGAATCCTGAGAGAGGACTACCCATGGGGTGCATTATTTGGCTTTTGTCAATTCTCGATGTTCTCTTATACTCTGTGTTTTGCTTATATTATAAATCAGACAATGACTCCTTGCTCACTGTGCCTAGAGGGAACTTCATCTCACTAACAAGGACAAAGTTAAACAATCATGTGAGGCTGTATTACCTCGGAGGAAGACAAGACCTGGCAATTCGGTAATAGTGGACTGTCCAGGTGGCTGAGGCCAGTGTGATATGCCAGTGGTACAGGTTTCCTCTATATTGGTACAAAGCTAAAACTTTCATTAGACAATCCTGAGTAGGAACTACCCAGATATTTGGAGTTTTTATTCCCATTTTTAGAGTTCTTTTACACTGTGTTACAAAAATAAAAAGTCTGGCCAGTGTGAGATACACAATGGAACAATCTTGCAGAATTCACATGGATTCACACTATGCCATCTAAGGACGACAGTGGGAGACTTTGTTTTTGGATTTAGATTTTTAAGACTGTTGATTTTCGGAATAAATATCCATTTTGCCATTTATTAATTTATAAAAACTTCAGAATGAATGGATTTAAAGGTACACTATACAAACTGTATTCCTAACACAAACGTGTTCCTTTCCTCCCCCTGTCTTACAGCACTGAAAGCATTAGAAGACGGCGGAAATCCTCATGCAAAGTGGCAACGGTCACTAGAGGCAGTTTTAACCCTGCAGTATTAATATTGCAGTTTCTCTGCGATATATTGCAATTTCTTTTACATTGCAGGGCGAGATTAAGTGGTCTGGGTATAGTGTCCCTTTAAGGTTGGAGTAAGTACTGGATTTAGAGGAGAATAGGTGAGAGCGTAACAGAAAATGGGAAGGGGTATGATCTATCAGAAGAAGACATCTTTGATATTTAAAGGCTCTCTGTGCTTGGAAGAGGCCAAATCTTATTCAGCAGATCCCTGTTAACAACTCACTGAAATTACTAAGTCTTCCCTCCATTACAGTGGTGACCCCAATGACACTGTGAAGAGTCTATTGAAGTAGACTTCGATATACATTTTGTGATTCACATTCAATCTTGGTTAAAGCATTTCATAAGACGTTGGAGTTGTCATTAGTGATATCATTATTCGCCCTAACTGTGACTCAGAGTTAAAAACAAAAAAATGTGCAACATCCTGATATTGAGAACAACACCACCACAGTTTTAGAAGTGTTCTAAAACCAACAGAACAGAAATCCCACACTTGTTGTAATACTGGTCTATCGGACAATACCAGAAATTTAAATATGTGGTTTCCCAGCAATATAAATTTCTCACAATGTCAACCAACAGATCCTCTGTGGGACTTCTAAGTTCCCTTCTGGACCACAGAAGAGCTTCGTCAATGGGCAGACAACCAGGGTCATGTCCGATCCTCCCCCATTATCAGCTGAGTAATGAACCAAGAGAGAGTAGAGAATGGCTTGCTGATTAGTCTAACCTCTTATGCCATGACAGCCTCGGCTAATAGCCATTTTCAGGTCTTTATATGCATTAATCATTGTATTAATAGTGACAGTGCACCCTTCATAATGGTGGACTCCCAGGATGCGTTGCTCCAGAACTGTCACTTAAGAAAGACATGTATAGGCTAACAAAACATGCTAAAATGTATGGATCTAAAACAGATCACATGTAGAGGTTAGATCTCCCATAATTCATTAATAAAGTACTGTTCCTCTAAAGTACTATATTGAATGATACCACCAGGCTTAGCACCCACAGGATTCATTGCTACAGGTGGTCCATCTAAAAACATCTGTGCTGACCTGGTTTCCATGTTAAAATGGATGGGTCTTCTTGAAGGGTTTTGATTTTCTACAACTTAAATGCCTCAAGGCCATTTCAAAATAATACATTTAAACTTACATGTAGTGCTACAAAAAGTCAGTATTGTGATTAGACTCATTTTTAACTTGTCTTCCAGATTCAAAAGGGTCAAAGTGAAATGGTTATCCACAAATCATGTGAAGTTTGAAGTTCACTCTCGCTTTCAAAACAATCTACATTCTGGCCCAGGAAATGTTTAAACAAGTTTGTTTCCTGCACACACAGCAAGGTACCCTAGACCGGACAAAGCATTTGGCTAGCAATTTGGCAAGCACACAGTATACTCTTCCATGTCACACCAAGTTATGTTAGGTTAGCAGCAAAAAGTATCCTTTAATACAATCTTAAAAATGCTCAACAATCCCAAGAAATAAAAATAATGACTTAAATAATTATGGTAAATAAAAGGTTTAAGTGGTCTAATACGACAATGTAGATATGATTAACATGAAAAAAAAAAAAATACAAATAGTGCGGTACTATTTAATCCTAACACAACAGGAGCTAACTGGAAAAACTAGTAGACTCCCATAAACACATATACAGGGTACTAATGTTAGAACATTCAGTAATTTCAAGTGAATGCAAAATGCTATATATTAAACATAGCTTGAAGAATTTTTCTAGTCCGGCTATTTTAGCTTTAACTTGAAGAAACATGCTTAAAATAGTGTTTTTATAGTTCAGCAATTTTGACTTTTGAATGAAAAACATTTTGAATTTACTTAAAATTTCGAACAATTGTCACTTTAGTGAATAAGTCTGATAATAAGACCAAAAAATAAATAAAAAATAAATAAAAGATTGAATTGGGCAGCTATTGAATGGAAACCATTATTTAATAATGTCTTACATAAAAAAGAACAACACGCTTAATTAATAGAAGAGATTTTTGGGAAAGTTGCTTAAATCTCAATCACTGATACCTGCTTGTATGTAGTTTATTAATTCAGTGAAAAACAAGTTTGGAACTTGCCGTTTTAGAAAAGCAAGTACAGTGGGACCTCGGTTTACAAACGCCTCGGTTAAAGGACCACTATAGTGCCAGGAAAACATATTCGTTTTCCTGGCACTATAGTGCCCTGAGGGTGCCCCCACCCTCAGGGTCCCCCTCCCGCCCGGCTCTGGAAAGAAAGGGTTAAAAACTTACCTTTTTCCAGCGCTGGCGAGGAGCTCTCTCTTCTCTCCTCCTCCGTCCTCCTCCTGGGCTGAATGCGACGCACGGCAAGAGCTGCGCGCGCATTCAGCCCGTCGCATGGAAAGCATTTACAATGCTTTCCTATGGACGCTTGCGTCTCTCACTGTGAAAATCACAGTGAGAAGGACGCCGCCTCTAGCGGCTGTCAGTGAGACAGCCACTAGAGGCTAGAAGGCTAACCCATTATAAACATAGCAGTTTCTCTGAAACTGCTATGTTTATGAAAAAATGGGTTAACCCTAGCTGGACCTGGCACCCAGACCACTTCATTAAGCTGAAGTGGTCTGGGTGCCTAGAGTGGTCCTTTAACATAATTTTCGGTTTACAAATGAAAAGCCATTGATAATAATGCCTCGGTTTACAATTTTTTTTTGCAATACAAAGCAAGTTTCCCCAGGATGCATTGCACCTGGGAGGTTTATAGCACCGCTCGCTGCATGCTGGAGCCTGTGGGTAGCACGTGGCGTTGAGTGTGGAGGTGTTGGAGCGGATGTTGCATCGAGTTTTGGAGCCATTCTGGAAATTGTTTGCAGTTGTTTTGGGACTTTTTGGTGCATTTCTCAAGCTGTGGAAAGGTAGGGAGCTGAGCTTCATCGATTGCATGCCTTTTTATTGTGTGTTCTGCATTGTGAGCTGGTTTACATGCCAGCTCATTTTGACTTTTTTCTGACCTCCAGAACGGATTAATTGGTTTTCAATGCATTCCTATGGGAAACCGCGTTTCGGTTTACAAATTTTTCGCACTAAGAAACGTCCCGAAGAACACATTAAATTCGTAAACCGAGGTCCCACTGTAAATCTGAAGTGGTAACATTTGCCATAATCAATTTCTGGTGGGAGAAGGAGGAGTAAAGTGCAAGATTAAATTAGATCACAACAGAGTGCAAGATATTAAAGGGACACTATAGTCACCATTTTTACTGAGCAAGATTCTGCAGCAGTCTATGTGACATTAAAGGGACACTTTATTCACCAAAACACTTTAAGCTTAATAAATCAGTGTTGGTGTATATATCATGACCCTGCAGTCTCACTGCTCATTTCTCTGCCATTTAGGAGTTAAATCACTTTGTTTATGCAGCCCTAGTCACACCTCCCTGCATGTGACACTACATATCCTTCCTTAACACTTCATATAAAGGGTCATCTAATGTTTATACTTCCTTTATAGCAAATTCGTTTTAATTTAGAAATTCTTATCTCCTGCTCTGTTAATAGCTTGCTAGACCATGCAGCAGCCTACTGTTTGTAATTAAAGTTCAATTTACAGACCAGGACATAACAACCTTTAAAACCATTTCCTTTTTTAATGCAGACTGTGTCAGTCACTGTCAAAGGAGGTGTGGCTAGGGCTGCATAAACAGAAACAAAAGTGATTTAAGTCCTAAATTGCAGATAAGTGAGTAGTGAGATATCAGAGCTATTATCAATATACCAAAACTGCTTCATTAAGCTTATGTTGTTTTGGTGAATAAAGTGTCCCTTTAATGTCACACAGACTGCTACAGAATCTTGCGCAGTAAAAATAAAAGTGAATAAGGTAAAAGGCTAGATAAAGACACATATGTGCACACACCTCAATAGCTATTCATACAATTCAAACTCAAAAAAAAAGTAGGACAATATGTTGCATTTAATTTTCTAAGTGACTGTTATCAAGCACCTATAATCGACATGTATTGATCAGAGAGAATCCTAAAATCAGTGTACATGTAGTCCCCTCTACCAATTACCTGTGAAAGCAAACACTGTTTGTTGCCGGAACAGTGGGAGATATTCGTCACCTGATATCCTCTGACTGACTGCAGGTAAGTGGTACAAGCGAGTTCACCTGTCAGCACCACTTGGTGTTAAACTGCAAGCCTACCAAAGACCAAGGACAGTATTAAACCGTTCAGATGACAATGGCAATATAGCTTTCACGCTCTTTTGCAGAAGCAAACGTAAATGATAATTCACTTACATTTTTCCTAGTTGCCATTTTAGTCTTTAGATCTTGAAATTGAACAGAGAAACTGAAACATTTACGTTTCTAATTAGAGATATATAATCAACTATATACAGTAAAGAAGGGGAATAACAAAAAAAAGTAACTATGCACAAACACGCAACATACAAAAATACTCCCAAGGAAGGAGACATGTATGACCACAGCAGATAGATATAAACCAGTTGTTCGTGTCTAGACTGAACGCCCTTCATGCTAATTATGAGCAGTATATGACATGATCTGTTTAATGCCAATTATAAGACATGCTTACATGGCCTTTGACCAAAGGAATTTATAGGCGATACTTATATTTCTAATTAACTGATGCCTGTTTCTGGGGACACCAGTAAACTAGAGGTATGACAGAGTCCAATGCGGGGGGAGGAATTTTTCAGCCACATACCGAGCCACA